CCAGTGCTCTCCACCTCGCGATGCTGCGCTTCTTCCGCGCCGCTTTGAGCATCGCCTTCAGGGTTGCCTCGCAGGCGCTGTTCTTTGAGGCCCCACGCAACTGCTGCTGGGTCGCCTTGATCTCCTTCGACGCTTCAGAGATCTCGTGCTGCGCTTCGCTCGTGTACCAGCCTCTCTGCCCTCGTGCGCACCTCGCCAGCGGCGCGGTCTCAGCAGCGGCCGACATCACCGTAGCCGTCAGCTCGGCGGCGGTCTCTCCCGTTGGCCGCCTGAGCGCCGTGGGCGGAGGGCGGCTGGAGGCCCTGTTTTGGAAGGCGTCCCGTAGGTGTTTGTCCTTCCAGAAACATTCGTTAGAATTCCTATCGGTTTGAATCATTGCCAACCATTTAACCAGAATTGCGACAATTTCCACCGGTCAATCTTATTTCTCAGAGAATCAAACAAATCAACACAAAAACCAAAAATCGAAAACAAAACAAAAGACACAAGACTCAAAAACAAAAAGGATCTCCCGGACTAATCACTTAAAGTTCATCACGTAGTCCCGGTGGGAAACAAACTCTCTCTCAGGTAGCGCCTTCGCGAGGAAGTCGGCATGCTGATACTTCGACGCTACGTGGATGGTCTCTACCTCCTTCTCATTTACGAGCTGCATGAGGAAGTGATGCCGCACGTCGATGTGCTTCGAGTTGGAAGTCGAGATCGGGCGTATTGCGATCTGGATAGCTCCTTCGTTATCCTCATACAGGGGAATACACGGCCGCAACTACCCCTCCCGAAACCGACCTACTACGGTCTGCCGCACGTGAAGCGTAATCCGCTTCGACAAACGCAATCAAAGAAAATCCCGAAACCGTCCCCCTCTGAAAAGGAATCCCCAAATAACTAGTCCATACTGCATATCCTCAAATGCCAAGTGCAGCCTTCCAGTGGATCAATTTCGGTGCACTACAGTACCTCGCCACTGCTCTCACCGAATTCGCGATATCTGGCCTAGTCCACGAGGCAATCCACAACAGCGAACCGACCAGCGCGCGAACAGCGTACTCTACGCTCGGCTCGTCCAAGTCAAAGTCCCAAAGTCTCCAGGTGGTGGGCAAAGGAATGCCCCCCCCCCACTCGACACCATATCTCTCTCCCA